CTACCCTCCTAATTTCTTTCAGGGAGGGTTCCCGGAGAAGAGCCTCTCCCGCAGATCTCAAGGGGCGGGCAGGCATATATGGATGTAAGCGCTCCTTCAGGTAACCAGGACCCAAGCCGTTTAGGGCTTTATAGGTCATCATCAACACCTTGAATTGGGCCTGGACTTCAGTGGGAAGCCAGTGAAGCTGACGGAGGACTGGAGTCAGGTGAACATAACGCCCAGTCCCCGTCAGCAACCTGGCAGCTCGATCTTGAACCAATTGAAGTATCCGGACCGTCTTCAAGGGTAGCCCCACGTAGAGCACGTTACAGAAGTCAAGACGGGAAGTCACCAGCGCGTGTGTCACTGTTGCCAGGCAGTCGTACGCTAGGTAGGGGCGCAGCTGATGAATCAGCCAAAGCTGAAGGAAAGCGCTCCTCGCCACCGCTGTCACCTGAGCTTCCAGTGAAAGCTCTGGGTCGAGGAGCACTCCCAGGCTGCGAACCTTGTCCCTAAGAGGGAGTGCAACCCCATTCAGGACCAGGTTCAATTCACCCTCCCCGAAGCCCGATCTGCCAACCAACAGGACCTCCGTCTTGTCTGGCTTGAGCTTCAGTTTATTGGCCCTCATCCAGCCCATTACCTCAGCCAGGTTAATCCGTTCTGAACCATAACTTTATGTTATACATAAAGGACAGCATATAAGGTTTTAAATAAATAAATATGTATTTTTTTTAAACAACCTCAAAAATATGAGCCACGTCCCCGGGCTGCGGGCCAAGCCGCAACCACCTCACTTAGGCCAGGGGTGGATGGGCCAAGGCGGAGCAGGCCGTGGCTCCCACGCCTCCACCACAGCCTTCCCAGGACAAGTCGCTGCCACCATGCTTCTTCCCCCTGCGGCAGGGAGAGGCATGAGATGCCCCGCTTGGCCAGCCATGGCCACGGCCCCGTCCCTCGCCTCCCCTCCCCTCGGCCCACGGGAAGCAGCCCTTGCCTCCCTCCTCACGGCCCTCTCCCGGCCAGGGGAGCCGCCTCGCACTCACCTCTCCGGCCTCCTGCTCCCGCTCCCACTCCTGGAGCCGGGCAACCACCTGTGAGGGGACCTTCCTCCGGCTCGGAAGCCGGGCGGCAGCGAGGAGCCGGGAAGCCCTCGACCGAGGTGAGCGCACCCTCATGGCTCCCCCTCGCGGTGGGTGGGGAGAAGGTTATTGTTCGGAGCGCTCGTGTGGGGAAGGTGGCTGCGATCGCAATCGTGTTTGTGGGGAACACAGCTGCAATCATGGTCGTCACCTGATGCGGAGTTTGCGAACGGAGGCAAAATTTTGCCAAAATTTCTGTTCACGACCCGATTTGGTCATGAACTGAGCCGTTTGTGAACCAAGGCACCAGAGTACCTCGGCTCAGTCATCCATTCAGAGGGAGACTGCAGCCGAGGAATTCAAAGCAGACTGAGACTTGGAGGAGCAGCAATGAAGGAACAAGGGAAGCAAAGATCATCAAGTGGACCAACCTGGCTCAAGATGTTTCCCCAGAGAGGCTTTCCCCACTGGAAAAAGGGAGCCGCTGTCAACTGAGCCTTGCGGACCCCTCCTGGCCTTGGGAGCCAGCTCTAAATTACATGGGCCTGAAGGAGCCTTGTGTGTAGCCACTGGAATTCCCCCATGGCCACCTTTCTCTCTCTGGCATCTGAACTTCTAAATATATTGCCCACATGCGACTCTTTGCAGACATAAGGACTAGAAACCTGTTTTAAGTGGGGGTTTTGCTTTTGTTGTCAAGGAAGCCAAGATTTTAATGGCACTCAATTAAGTACTTAACTTCTCTCCACCCCCGGTACGGATTCTATTCTGCTCTGTAGATCCTGCAGAACTCCATCCCTAGTTACATTGTTCCACATTGCAAAACTGTTGGTTTGGGTCTGGGGTACAAGCCCCTTGGAAGCCACTGATCATGCAAAACTGATGCCCAGGTGAGCAAAGCATGGCTCCTTGCCAAGATGGGAGAGGTGCCTGCTGTGATTTACAAAGGATAAAAGAAATCCTTCCTTAAGACAAACCTCCCAGAAGCGGTAAAAGAGCAATGTGCCCCGGCAGGCCTGCTTGCGGAACCAGTCGCTTCCCTCCTGCGGCTGGCTTCCTCGCTGGAGTGGCTGCTTAGACCTCGCCCAGGGCACAGCTGCTCAGTGGTTCAACAACCCCTGAGTTCGGAACAGCTTTCATCTTGCAAAGATCTGTGGCTTCATTTGACTTTGTAAAAGCTCTCGAGTACTTCCCTTTATACAAGCCAACTGAAAGAGGGAATTTGAGGCAGAAACTGGCGGTAGATCTTGGCTGGAGAGAAGATTCCTCCCCTTTCGTGTGACTGTCCGGCCTGTTCCAGAAACCAGGCAAGCAGGTCTCCTTGGCACTATGTGGAACACCGCCCTGCTGGCTGCGTGTCTCGGGGTCCCTTGGGCGAGTTGGCCGCAGTGGGCCCTGACCTCCCCCCAAGATCCTTGCCTCCTGCTGCTGCTCTCCCTCCCCACTGCTGGCATCTGCTGGCTTGGCAGGCGGAGAGCCGGGGGCACGCTGGTGGGCACCGCTGCCCAGGCCGGAGAGGCAGGGAAGAGGCCAGCTGCCGTGCAAGCAGGAGGGGCAACTCCAGGGGCTGCTATCGGGGAGCCCCCTGCACGGCAGGCCCTCAGCAGCCATGCCAAACAGCCTCCCCACCCCTCTTTCTCCTGCTGCCACTAAATGCCCGGGCCAGGGATGGAGGACCTCTCCACCCCGAGTGCTGAAGGCCTCAGGAACAGCATTTCAGCTTGGGGGCCGGGGGGGGGGGGGCTGTTTAAAGGCCATGCTTCAGGGAAAGGTCCTCCAGCTTGCAATCTCAGGAGCAGAGCTGTTGCCCAGCTGTTGCCGTCCTCGGGCCTCTTCCCAGCCCCTTCTGACCAGCCCCTTTTCCTCCGTGCTCGTGCACCTGCCACGTGCCCCCTTCTCCACAGAGCATGTGAGCTGTGAGGAGCAAGCAGCCGCCACAAGCCCCCTCCTCTCTCGCTGGGCATGCAGTGAGGCAGACTGGCCCAGAGGGAGCGGCACCACGACTCCTGGCAAAGAAGGGGCCTCCACCTCCCGGGACAGCCTTTTCCATTGCTGAACAACGCTCGGGAAGTTCTGCCTAAGAGGAGGCTGAGTCCCAACCCTCTTTCTTGTGATTCGCACCCAGTGGCTGCATCTTGCAGGCTACAGAAAAAAAAAACTTGCATTCTGCACCACATTTTGCTGCAGGCTGCAATTGTGACACACGAAATGAAAATACGTAGCAATATGACATCAACTGTTTGGCAGTTCAGTAATAGTTCATTTAAGATGATATGGCTGGCTGGAGGGTGCTGGTAATTGTAGGACTTTCTTCTTTCTTCAGCAGGCATAGGATGGCTACCTTAAACAAATTTTAAAATTTTAAATATACATGAAACTTACCCATAGGATAGTCAACTATACCTGATGCCAATAACATCAACATCATACCACATTCAGCAGTCCACCCAGTAATCCATACTAAGAGACTTTGCAATAAATTACTTAGGTAGGTAATTTGTGCCGCCACCAAGAAGGAAGGCAAAAGAGGGCAGAGCTGTGCGTGATGTGGGGTGCCCAGGAGAGCTCCTTTGCAGAGGACGGGGCGGCTCTCGCAAGAGGCCTTCAGCTCAGATCTAGTTTGACCCGAAAGCACCAGGCGAGGCCGGGGCCGGAGCGCGGAGGCCACCAGCCAGCCATTAGCCTCTGGACAGGAGGGAGGCTGCACCTGGCGCGAGAGATACCTGGTCACAGCTTCCCTGCTGTGATGAGATGCACTGTTTTCCCGTAAACATGCCAATTATTTCTAAATGAGCATCTATACATACAGAGCAACATGTGCAACGTTAATGCAGATTTGTCACCTTCTCTCTCGCTCACACACCCACATTCTCTCTTTGGATGATGAGTTCATTAGCACTCTAGGTAGCTGTGCTGGCTGAGGCACTCTAGGCACTCTCTGCTGAGAGTTGTTGCGAGGAGTTGCAGGTTTATTTTCCGTTCAAGCTTGTGCCTTAAGAGGACTGAAATTGCTGGATCTGGATTTGCTAACTCTGTGTCTCCAGTCCAGGATTTGGAGCACGACTGTCAAATAGACTTCACCCGCTCCTGTTTTAAGCTCTTCCACTGGGCTGTATCTCTAAGCAGGGTGGGGGGGGTGACAGCTCATGCTTTGCATGCAGGTCCTGCTGACTCCAGCTAAAATGTCTAGGTGGCGGGCGAAGAGGGAGCGGCCTCTCTGCTGAGACTCTGGAGAGCGGCTGCCCGTCAGAGTGGGCCACACTGGACCAGAGGCACAAGGAGCCTGACCTGGCCTCAAAGGCACTTATTTCCCTGTGATTCCGAGATGGAGGCTGTAGATCTACTGCAATCAGTCAAATGAGGGGATGTAGCAGTTGCAGTGCAAATATTCTTGAGGAGCCGGGTTGCCACTCCCTGTCTGCTGCCTCCAGGTTTCGAGTTTCTCTGTGTCAGACGCCCTCACTAGAGACACCCCACCCCACCCCACCCAGTGCCACCAGCTGCTCTTGCTCCTCTTCCTGGTTCTCTTCACTGCAGCCACTTGTTGCTTGGCAGGCGGAGATCCAGGAAGCAAACAGGCAGGGGCATCCCTTGCGCCTCCTTCTTGGTAGCCACGTCGCTGGGCTAGAGCAAGAAGCAGGGGCCGAGCAGCGTGCACGAGCGCCAAAGAGAAGCCACTCTATGGCTGGAGCCCCTGATGGACTGGATCCCTTGACAGGTGCCCAACCATTCCTACAAAGGTGATGTCTCTGTGCCATGTTTCTGCGCAGGAAGTGCTGCAGTCACCTGCACTGACTCAGATTGGGGCTTGGCTCTTGCGTTTACAGATATTTAATAAAATAGCATGTCCTGCACTGCTGTATGGCCTAGATGCCAACCATATTTCCACCTAATCAGCTCTTGCTGTGATTCTGACACCACCCCCTTCTGTTCCAGGTGTGCTGAAGGTGCTGGTGCTGGTGTTCACCTTAGCCGCAACCTGGCTTTTTGTCAGCACTTACGTCAACCACCCAAGTGTGAAGTCCATCAGCCTGAGGAGCTGGATGAGTATGTTGCGATTGCATCTTGTTCTTCCCCAACCCTTTTTCATTTGTCCACTAGAGTTGACAAAGATGCTCCCACCTTGTTTCCACGGCAGCCGTGGAGCGGACTTCCCCTGAAGCTCCTTTTGCAGCCCTGTTCAGAATCCCCAGCCAGCTGCCCAGTGTGGTGCACTGTGGGAATTCTGCTCACAATGAGACTGTGGAAGAAACAAGGCAGCAGAAAGAATCCTTGTTCAGGGCTGTGGGGTTGTTTAAGGAGGATCCCCTAAAAGTTAGGGTCAAACAACTATCCTTGCCTTTCCCACATGCCACCCCTGGAATAAAGCTGTGCACACAAAAAATAGAAGGTTTTCCCAGAGTTCCATAGCACCATTGACCAACAGTATATCATAGGTGGTCGGTGGGAAAGATCTGGATGATGCAACGTCCATGATCTTCTTTAAGACATCTTGCCCAAACCATGCTTTGGTTGTCAGGGCTGTGCCTTGGATTTATATGCACCACTTATAAATCACATGTGCTAGTTCCTCCCCACCCAAAATTAGTCACCTATTGCTACCTGCCGCAAGAAATTAACTTTACGCAGGCCTGCAGCCTGCTCATTTGTTCTTGCTGCTGTGTGCTGTCAAGTCCTCTCTGACTTGTGATGCTATAAACAGAAGTCCTTCAACATGCCCTATCCATGACAGCACAACTTGTAAATCCAAGGCTGTGGCTTCCTTTGTGGAGTCAATCCATCTCATGCATCATCTTCCTCCTCTTTTTCTGCCTTCAGCTTTACCTTAGCATGATTGTCTTCTCCAAGGAGTTTCGCCTTTTCATGATGTGCCCAAAGATTTGTCATGTTCACTTCTAGGAATCGTGTTGGCGTCCTTTGATCTAGGACCTGCTTGTTTCTCTTTTGCTCAGTCAGGGCACTGAGAAAGCTTCGGCACAGCCTGCTATGTGAAGGGCTGAAGTGGGGAGAGATTACAGGTGTGCACACAAGTTCCAGCCCACCATCCCTCTCATTCAGTCCCTGGTCTTCCTGTGCTGAGGGAGGGGGCCTGAAGGGGATGTCTGCTCACATTTGCTTAATGTGCTTTATCCAGTCCACCAATTGTGGCTTCTGCTGGCAAGGCCAGCCCTGCCTTGTGGCAAAGGGAGGCAGCTGCCTCAGGGTGTCCAGAATTGTCTTCAGCACACCAGCCTGGGGCACAGCTACACTGGCCAACCCATGGCCTGGCTGTCACATCAGGTTCAGGCCGATTCCTTGTCTTTTATGGCCCATTTCTTCAGAAATCAGCTTTGGAATTTTTCGCAACGGCAGACACATCCTCCAGAAAAAGCTACCTCGTGTTTGGAAAGGCATCTTCAATTATATTCATTCAAATGAATGACACCACGAGTATTTTTTTAGCTGCTCCCACTCATTGCAGTGGCTCTCTGACAAGATTGTTTCAAGACTGTTTCCTAGAAAGGTTCTCCCCATCCTAGCGCCCTCCTGTTCTTCTGGGCTTCACCTTCCATCAGCCCCAACTAGCATGGCCAGTAGTCTGGGGTGATGGGAGGCATAGTCTAAAACCTCTGAGCAGCCCCAAGTTGGGCAAGAGTTGTCCGTAGCTTCCCAAAGAGAGGGCACGGACAGAAACCTGGACAGGTAGGCTGCATTTCCCCAGGTTTCACAGTCCATGCACTTGGTTGGTCAGGTGAGCAGGCTGGGCATGCCGCAGACTTCTCTGCTCTTGCCACAGACTTGTTACTTTTTAAGAATATAATCATGGTGCCAGGAAGGCTTGACGCTTTCATCATTCTTCTTTGTTTCCTTTTTGCCCATACAGAGCCTGGCGATAAACCAAAGAGTGAGTATCCTACTTATGTATTTAATGACCAGGATTGGAATAGCCGTTCTGTGGCACTCAGTATTTCGGAGGAATATTTCTTAACAGCCCTAACCCCACTGAGAAGAAATGTTGGGCACGGAGCCCTATAAAAGGCATGGTGGCCACTGACCCATTGCAGAAATGGAGGACCAAAGGGGCGCTAATTTATATGAGGACTGTGTATGGACATGAAGAGATGGGGCCATCATTTAAAGATAGGTCATCCCACTGTACGGGAGAAGGCTGCCCAGGTGACCCCGTCTACTGTCCAGCTGTTGAGGGCCAACATCCTTCCCTTCTGACGGTTCTTTGACTTGGACTGGATGGCTCTTCAGGTAGCAGATACAGTCCTTTGAACAGAGGACTGTCCTCAGGCAGGTCTCCAAAATGGAGGGCAGTCTTCTGTGCAGCAGGACTCCTGCTTAGCCTAAAATCAGGATTTCCCCCATCCATGTTTCAGCTGGTATTCCTCCCCCAGCCTGCTCCCTCCCCCCTTCTGTGGAGGAGGAAGAGGAGGGGGCAGAGCCACACCAGTCCCTTCCCACCAAGAGCCAGGACAGAAGGGCTCGCGACTGCCCCTTTGCCCCCTGCTGAATCCTTGGCTCCAGGAGAGCAGGGAAGCCCTGTGCAAGTACGCACAGCTTGTTTCCCGGAACAGGCAGGCCAGGAATCCCATCCTGTGCCCATTGCCCTTTCATTGGCATTGCCAAATGCCCAGCACGGTTACCTCTTAAGCATGCTTTACGTGCACCCTTTTCAGCAGGTGGTGGTGCTCATCTCCATGTTTTGGGAAACCTTGTGGGATTATTTCTGCAGATAATCGCCCTCTCTGTTTGTTTTTCTGGGTTTCTGTCTGAGACAGCTCCAAGTTTGAGGGGGCCTTTGGGGCAACATGTCCTTTCCTCTCTCAGGGGTCCTCAGCCAGCTGTGTCTGTGATCAGTTGTGATGACGGTCTGTGATCAGTTATTCCCCAGAATAATGCTAGCTCAGGAGCATTGTAGGAAAATTGACAGCAGCTGAATGCAGCTGCTTATTGCTGCTCAGAGTGCTTGGGGGGGTGGCACGTGGAGGTGGGTAGAAACCTGTTTTCTCCTGAGGGGGGGGCAGGACACATTCCAATGAAGCAAAGCTCAGGGAACCAAGGAAGCACCTCCTGACAGTCAGGACCCCGAGGGCATGGAATGGGCTTCCACTGGAGGTGGTTGAAGCCCCATCGGTGAGGGTATTCAAGGACAAGCTAGACGTGCACATGGTAGGCATGTCATGAGTGGAGCTGGCTGAAGCCAGGGGTCAGACTAGATGGCCCAGGAGGCCCCTTCTGACTCGCTCTGTTTCTGTGTTTCTAATACCAGCCCTGTCTGCCAGGAACCCCACACAAGACTAAAGGTGGTAACTTTTTTCCAGCAGGAAATTAGCTCGCAGGCCTCAGAGCTGGCCACACGGAACTGGATGTGCCACAGTTGGAGAGGGTAAAGACCGAGGGCCTTCCAGTCCAAACCCTCTTTTCCTTCCTGCTTTAGCTGCATCCCCCAGCTAAGAAATGCCCACGGCACAGCAAAAAGGTGGAAGGGTGCCGTTGAAAGAGGGGAAGACCCACCCTGGTTCTTTTGCTCAGGGGCCTATGAACACCTGAGAGCAGCCCCGAAAGACACTGCGCCTGTGCCTTGGGGGTGGGTTACGGGTCACACCTACAGTACAAATGTAGGGTTTGTTTTTAAATTGTGGTCTTTTCTTGGCAGAAGCCCCAGTGATCCGAAATAAGTGCAACATTAAAAAGGCTTGTCCCAGCAACACCTTTGCCTTCAAAATAGTCAGCGGTGCAGCCAACGTCATTGGCCCTTTCATGTGCTTTGACAACGTGACGTAAGTTCTGTGCAGAATGGCAAGCGCGCCGCGCTTGGTGCGTGTGTGCATTGGTATGTTTGTTTGCTCGATGGTGGCATCCGATGCACCACTGTCTGCTGACCAGTCCTTTTTCCCTCTCTTAATTTTTTTCAGGGTTATGAGCAACATCAAAAATAACATTGGCCGGGGTTTAAACATTGCTCTTGTCAATGGTGAGTTTTTCAAAAGGTTACTAGTTTTCCTTCATGCCTGCTCTTACCTGACCTTTTGTTTCTGAGCGTTCTGTCCACAGTAAGAACCTATCCAGCTGTTTGAAATACCTACAGATTTAAGTGCATTAAGGAAGTGGAGATTATATGCATTTAAGAATATTCTGTAGCACTTTCTGCTTTTAAAAGGCAAATTCCAAAGCAATTCATAGACAGACTCATATTAAAATTTTAAGAAAACTATGAAATAATAAAATATTCCATTGAAATAACCAGAAGTAGGTGGCAATGTCAAGGAGATACCCAGGAAAGCAAATGTGTCCTAAGTTGGTAGCGAAAGTGCTCCAACTAGAAACATGCCTGATCTCAGCTGGGAGGCCACTGAAAATGGAGGGTGCCACGGCAGGGAAAGCCCTGCTCCACACAGTGGCCAAATGCACATTGCCAGTCCATGGCGCAGAGAGCGAGGCCTCCCGTTCAGGACGCAGAGCCCGGGGCAGCCTCTACAGGGAAAGTGTCTGTCGGATAACCTGATCTGGAGTCGTTCAAGGTCTTGGAAGCCACTTGGAGCATGACACAGTAGCTAATTGGCAGCCAGTTCAGTGGCTAATTGCTAGCGGAATGAATATGCACAAGTTCCACGGAGCAATCTCGTAGCTGCCGCATGCTGCAGATCATTGGACAGAGAAGGAAAGACGAAAATCCTGAGAAAGGAACTCTCAGCGTACCACATACTTTATTTACCAGAATTGTTGGAAGACATCTTCAGGTGTTCGTACTGTTGTTCTTGCTACACATTGTCAAATCTCAGGTTTTTGGTGACCCCATGAATGAGTCCCCCTGAACTGTCCTGTCCTTGACAGCCTCCCTCAGATAGTGTAAACCCAAAGCTGTGGCTTCATGTATGAACTTGATACATCTCATATTTGGTGGTGGCAGCGGCGGCGGTCTTCTTCTTCCTCTTCCTCTTCTTCCTTCAACTTTCACTAGCATAATTGTCTTCTCCTTTAATTTCCCTTCTCATGAAGTGCTCAAAGTATGACAACTTTCTCAATTTTGTCATTTTTGCGTCTTGGGAAATCCCTGGCTTGATTTGAAGTAGGAGCCATTAGTTTGTCTTTCTGTCCATCCAGCTTTTTCATAAAGCTCTCTTCCAGCACCAGGTTTCAAACACGTTAAATTTTCTTTTCGTCAGTTTTTTTCACTGTCCAGCTTCGAACACTATACATGGTGATCAGGAATATAATCATGTGGATGATCTTGGCTTTGGTCTCCAATGAAACATTTTTACACTTGATGATCTTTCCTAGTTCACTCACTGCTGCCCTTCCAAGTCTCAGCCTTCTTCAAATTGCTTGGCTGCAACCTCCCTTTGAATTAATGATTGTGCTGAGGTATGCCAATCTTTCACAATTTCAGTTTCTTCTTTGTAAACTTTAAATTAACAATTTAAAGAACATACAATTCTTTCGTAGTTATTATTTTTGTTATCTTGATGTTCAGCTGCAGTCCTGCTTTTGTACTTTCTTATTTTATTTTCATCAGGAGTCATTTCATTTAATGCTACTTTCTGCCTATTGTATGACATCATTTGCATATCTTAAATTATTGATGGCTCTTCCTCCAGTTTTCATTCCTACTGTCTCTGCTCCTAATTCAGTTTTTTTTTATGATAAATTCTGCATGGAGGTTGAACAAATAGGGAAATAAAAGACATCCTTGTCTGACACCTTTGGCTTTAGGAAACCACTCTGTGACTTATTAGTAGCTTCTTGTCAGTGAAGCAGCTTATACGCATCAGGACGATCAAGTGCTGAGGCACACTCATTCCTTCCAGGACCATCCATAGTTTCTCATGATCTACACAGTTGAAGGCTTTGCTGTTGTCCTTGAGTTATAGTCTGATCTTCTGAAAGTTCTTGGTGCATTCCCTTAGCTGACATATATTTGCAATATGATCTCTACTGCCTCTTCCTTTTCAGAATTCAGCATCTTTCCCTTCTTATAGCGTAATTTGTTGCAAAGGAGATGACTACCATGATCTTATGGTTGCTGTGGTCTTTTACATCTCCTTTCTTGGCAATTAGAAGTTAAAAGTTTCCAATATGTGAGCCATTGTTTTGTTTGCCATCAGATTGCTGACATATTTTCGTTGGGATTTAGACTGATTCGGTCTCTACAGCTTGGAATACTTCTATTGGTTTCTTATCTACTCTGGGTGCTTTATTTTTTTAAGTTCTTTCAGAGCAGCTTTTCCATCACTTTCTAATATTGCAGACTCTTCATCTCTGGAGGCTGTCACCTTTTTATCTGTTCTGAATGGTTCTTCTACACACTGTTTCCACATTTTCTTTAATTTATCCTGCTCAGAAAGTACATTCCCAGCATTTCAGCAGGTCCTAGTCTAGGTTTGACTTCCCCTTTGATTTCTTGGATCTTCTGGAAGAGGTGTGAAAATTTCTCTTCTGTAGTTCTCTTCTATTTCTTTACACTGCCCACTGTGTTAATTCTTTTTGTCTCTATGTGATAGTCACTGAAAAGTTGCATTCAGTATTCTGACCTTATTTTTGTCACCTTTTGCTTTTGATACTTGCCAGTCCTTAGTATCTGGGTAGTGGAGTATGTTTAGGAGGGGACCTGAAGTCGAAAGGCTTGAAAAACATGTCTCTGGGCAACTCTTTCTCTCTTGCACTTAACTGTTCCTGGAATACAAATTTCAAAATTCCTGAGTTTTCCTTTCCCCTCTGAATTGGATGTGCTGCTTTCTCACTGGGTGTCCACACTAAGAGCCCACTCTGAGTACACCTTCCCGACTGAGCTGAAGTCTAAGGACTGAAACACTAATGTGGGAGTATCTTTCCTTCTTTCTCTCCTTGTGCAATAAAACAGGATCAAACTCCAAACTTAAGAAAGATAAGCACTCTGACCTTGAAAAACAGCTTGACATCTGGCTGGCAAGCTGAAACTGGAACCCTTTGGATGTTAATAAACCCATAAAGTAATTTAAGGCTGTAGACGTTGCAGGCCTTGAGGAACTTTGGTAGGTGCAGTTAAGGAAAGGGAATGTCACTGAACATGCATGCAGTTTATTTGTACAGTGACAGCAGAAGCAGTCCTCGTTAAACCAGGTTATCTATTAGCCACTGACAGTGTTGCTTGTGCAGGGAAAAGGACACCCAGGCAACTCCCAGCTGGTGTAGAGCAAAGCTGAGGGGAGGGGCAACTTTCACTTTCCTGCATCCCTTTCACTTTAAGAAATGCCCCACTCTTTAAGGTTAGAAGAGGCTGAGAGTCTTTCAGAGCTCTGAGTCGGAGAGCAGGAGAGCAAGGGAACTTGTGCACCCACTGGTTACTCTTGCCCATAATGGGCAAGCACCAGGATCCGACCACCAGGATTCTCTGAACTTTGCCTCGCCGCTCATCTTCCACCCAGTTCCTGTTTGCAGCGCTGCTCACCCGATGCAAACAAGAAATCTGTGCAAGCTGAGCCATAACCCAATGAGAGAACTGAACCAGTTCCCCCAAATTTGCACAAGTTCTCTAATTTGCACGTTTCTCCATAGGCCAAAACAGGAATGATCTATGGTCTATGGAGCAAATTTGCATGCACTGAGAACAAGACAGAACTGTGCCCATGTGTCACAGTGCGTGAATGTTTTCAGCAGATATGTGCTCTTGCTCACTTGTAGCATTGTACAGGGCAAGCTATCATGTTTTGCATTTTCCTCTAGTACTAGCCCTGGGCACGCAACCTCGCCTTAATTAGCTGCTCAGAAAATACCGCTGACAAAATAGACAAGTACTATCTAACAGTGCGCGCTGCCAATGTGGTGCTGTGCCTGCGATGGGAGGGCACTCAGTGTGCACCCTTCTCTAGAGAATGAACTTCAGCAAAAAATCTCTCCCACAGTCTGAAGATGAGAGAAAGGAATGCCTCCTTTCAAACCTTCCCCAACTTTTAATAATGATTTTCTGCCTGTGATTAATGATTAGACGGATCCATATTTAGCTGCCCTGAGCCCTGTTTTGCAATGGAAAGCAGGATATGAATTAAAAGCATATTTGGAGGAGGTTTCTGAACCAAAGAACTTGTTTGTTTGTTTGTTTGTTTAGGATATTTATATGCTGTCCTTTGCAAAAGCCTCAGGATGGCTTACAATTGTTGATTCAAATGCAATTGTTAATTTAAAGTTTAGAGTATTTGGTTATATGCTTCCATTGCTGCAAAGCTCTGAAGAACAATGCGTATGTATAACTATGTGCCATTAAAAGCTGTGTTTGAATTCCAACGTTTAGGGAGCACGGGACAAGTCATCAAATCAAATGCCTTTGACATGTACTCCGGAGGTAGGCACCTTTGTTGGTTCAGCATTTAGTGTACTTACACTAGAATAGGGATGAGGGCCAGTCACTAGAAGAGGGGTGGGCAGGAGGGGGATGGGGTGTGCTGCTAGATCGCTGGGTGATTGACTGGGGGGGCTGCAAGAACCCCCCACTCCCAAGTGTTTCACAATGGCAACAAAATGCGTGTGCACGCACTCCATTAAAATGCTGAAATGAAGAGAATGTGCCAGGATGGAGAGTGCCAGAAATTGATTTTGGTCTGGAAGCACTATGGTTTGTAATCAGTTCTGCTACTCAGAACAAATTGTTGGGCCCAGAGGTCTTTGATTCCATGTGTATGTCCCTTGCTCCACACTGCATGTGATGGCTGCTGGGATTCAAAGCCTGAAGTCTGCCCATCCCTGCTCTGGAAGAATAAAGCAAACAGCTTGTCAAGATTTGGAGCCAGAGCTTGTTTTCATTGCAGCTGTGCCATTTTGAGGGTGTCTCTCTCTCTGCTTTTGGCTGTTTCTTGCTTTACACCTTTGGAGGCTGGCAAAACACTAGATGTGACAAGCCCCCAACTTCCCAAGCCTCTGCGTGCCATTGAGGGTAGGCTGTGCAGGGAGAAAGCGGCAGGTACTTAGCGTTTCTCTAGTCTGCTGCCCGCCTCCCCCTCTCCCCACACACACACGAACTCCCCTCCCATGCAGGGGTCCCCTGGTCCAGCTTCCTCCCACACAGGGAGAGAGGAAGCAGTCAAACTGGTTGATGAATGCACGGAAGCACAACGTTACTTCCACCCTCTCCGAACTGGGCCTAAAGATTGCTGGGGCCAGGCAGGGGGTGGTTTTCCCAGCCAGTTCTGGGCCTTTGCTGCCCCAAGCGTTAGGCAAAGTAAGGCAGACGTCTCAGGCGGCACGTGTTGGGAGGTGGCAGAAGAGAGACTGTTGCGGGAGAGACTTTGTGCAGCCTGCTTTCCGCCCCCTGGATGAGCCTTCCCTGTCATTGCTGTGGAGGACACGATTGAACCCGTGAAAGATGCATCTGTCGGTCCAGTTGGTTGTTGTGAGTGGAATGGGAAAGGGGCGCCATCTTGTCACCCACTTCAGAGAGCAAAGTTTGCAAGCCTGTCCCGGTTGCCATCAACACAACCTAAGAGCAGCCCTGCAGTGGTCCTGCTGGTTCAGTCCCATGAGGCTCAGCCAGCGGCCTACAGGAAGCCAATAGGCAGGGTATGGAGAGACATATCAGGCAGGAGGGGGCCTTCCCTACTCAGGGTAAGGTCCATTTTATGTTTCTTTTCCTTTCAAACAGTTAACACTTCCTGTGTGGTACACAGTTTCTTACACAAGGGGTAGAATTCTTTTTCTTTTGAAGGAAAATGGATCTCCATCTCTCATTCTCTCTCTCTCTCTCTCTCTTTCTGTCCTGCTTAGAGTGCAGTAGGATCCTGTGTGATCCTGTGTAACCAACACAGCCATGGCCCCTTGGAAATCCACTGCAGATGTGTCATAGTTTCTATTAGGAATCCCCTTATTCCCCTTCTTGGTTGTTCTGTGGGAACCTTAGAACACCACTAGATGGCAGGATAAGAAAAGAGCAGGCTCATGCTTCCTTTTTTGGTTTCTTTATTAGATGTTAAGCATTTATTGGATTTTCTGAAGCCAATTAAGAAAGGTACCCTGGTGCTCATGGCCGCCTACGATGATCCAGCAACGAAGTACGTATCAAGCTAGATTGCATGATTCGATCTTGTTCTCCGGGGCTGTAATGGCTTTTCAGTTTTATACATAAGTGCCGGCAGGGTTTGTTTCAATCCTTCCCCTCAAGTCAGTGGCCTCAGGAAGGTGGTCTCCTCATTTTTTTTCTGCTTCAGCACTAAACAAGACAAAATCTCACTTCTGTCAAACTTGGGAATCTTTTTATCATTGGCTAGAGAAACGGGACTTCGTATAGACTTAAATATGTTTTTAAGTTATTATAGATGGAAAGAGAAAGGTGTAGGGGCGGACGCAGTGGGCTCGATGTTTTTTGATCATGGATGTTGTTCGTAGTTCTCTTTTTGTTTTTGTATAATTTCTCAAATAAAACTTATTATTAAAAAAAAAAGACAAAATCCCATGCAGCCAATCAACCATTGCATGAAGGATCTTTTTTGAAGTAAACTGGTGCAAAAATGGCTTCCACCTGGATTGTGACCCTGGATATGGAAGGGGGCGGGGGGGGGGTCTCCACCCATTGCTCTTCCCGTACCTCTTTGTCACAGTGGCACCGAACCTGCCATTCAGTGGGAGCCCAAGAGCGCTGGGCTTAGTAGAGGGCTGGGCAGCTTGTGCCCCTCCAGATGCTTCAGTCTGCAATTTCGGTGGTCCTTCTCTGCTGGCTGGAGCTGATGGGAGCTGCGTGGCAAAACTCCTGGAGGTCATGAGCTGCTCATCCCTGGTTTACTGGACCCACGGCTGGAGAAGGGAGTCTGCCCTCGCCGTGTCCCCTTCGTTGTCACAGGGACCTCTGCTGCCCTTGACGCTCACCCTGTAGGCAGGGCCGTCTTAATGCATGGGCCTGATGGGCACTTGCCCGTGGGCCCCATACTAATCTGCGTATGTTAACCCTTGGAAAATGGGAAAACTTCCGAAATTAACAGTCGTTGTAGTTGTCGTAGGGGCCCCAGGACACTGCTTTGCCCGGGGACTATGATGCTGTTACGACGGCCCTGCCTGTAAGTGCTCCAAGGGTGGCAATGGCAACCAGGAGACATGATGGGGTAGCTCAGGGAGCCTTTGGAACTGTTGGCCTTGATGGATCGTCACAAGGAGCAACAGCAGAAGCTGCTGTGACTTTGCAATGGCAACTAACTCAAATAACCTGGTGCTCTGCTGTGAACCGCCCAGAGCACTTCGACTGCTGGGTGATTTAGAAATTAAATATTTCTTGGTTTTAATAAGAAAAGGTCCTATATTCATTCTTCCCTGCTGCCTTTACAAAGACCAGTGGTGTTCTTCCTTTTCCAAGAAGCCTTTAAATCAATTGAGTACTAATTTCTAATTTTGCTGTTGCTGTGTTTTTATTTAATTATCTGCTACTGGTTTTCCTTTACTGATAATATTCAGGTTTGTTTTCTTTTAATTCCTCTTTGGTGTGTTAATTTTTTACACAGCTGCTTGAGTGTCTCCCTGAAAAAGTCGTGTGGATTTTTTTTTAAAAAAAAGATTTATAAGTATAATTAAATAAGTACTTTTTCTTTCCCAGGCTGAATGATGAAGCACGGAATTTAATTGCTGAACTAGGAAGCAGTTACGCTAGCAAGCTGGGTTTTCGAGACAACTGGATCTTCATTGGCGGGAAGGGAATCAAAGACAAAAGCCCATTTGAACAGGTGCCTTTTGCTTAAGAGTCGTCAGTAGTCAAAGGGACACAGATGCACGATGGATTTGATTATTTCAGAGATGCATGTAAAATATCACCTTCAGGGAGACCTGGCTTTCTTCCCCACCTTCTGTAAAGGAGGGGCATGTTAAATGGGTTCTCCAGATGATCTTGGACTGCAATTTCCATCAGCCCAGTCGTCATGGCCAACAGTAAGGCTTAATGGGAGCAGCAGCCCAAAACGTCTCGAGGGCCTCGTGTTCCCCATTCTCGCTCTGCCAGACGCTCTGTAGATTCCAAATCTACACTGCGGCTGGACTGACTATGTCAAACCTTAGCGTGAATTCACACGCTGACATCAGCACCAGTGGTTTCTTTCTCACGACATTCAGACACACACAGAGGCGGAGCCTTGGAGTGGCTTCTGCATCGCCCAAGGATGCTGCAAACATCCCTGCTCCTCAGTGCACCTGCAGCTGGAGCATCGCAGGTGCAGCCAGTGCCTGTGGCCGCAACGTCCTTCTGCACTTCCAGGGCTATGCCTGAAATGGATACCCACGGATCTGGCTGGCAAGTGTTTGCTGAGCAGGCGAAGTCAGCGGCTACTGAGACCACGCAATGCACACACACAGGTGTCCTAAAGCAGGGCTGGAGGGTCTCTGGCCTGGGGACCAAGGCCAACAGCCCTCCGGGGGCTACACTCCCTTTCCCACAACCACCAGCTGTGGTGCAAATTTTCCCCTTTTTAAATGGTTGAAGTGAGTCTCCCACAGCCTAGTTTCTAGCAGTAACTTTGTAAAAGTGAATTGTAGGGTTGATGCTTTGCTATAGCTACCCCGCCCTTGCGTTCAGCACTACCCCCTGTGACACGCAGCCTTCAGGAGCTTCTCCAAAACCAAATTTTGCCTGTGGGCTGCAAACAGTTCCTCCCCGCTAGAGCAAGCATTCTCAAACGGGAAGCAAGGCAACCATTTAACCAGAAGCGGAGGGTGTTGTTCGCAACCCACGGTCACACTCTGCAGCGCCCACACAGCCAAGGGGGCGAGTGGTTGTGCGCAGGCAAGCTCAGCCGCCACCTGCATCGCAGTGCAGCGCAGCGCCCCGAGTCTCCCGCACGGTCTTCCGGGTCTCAGCACTCTATGATTCCGGAAGCCATCAAGGGGATTCATGAAGAAGCCTTGACAAGCTCGGTTTGCCATGCCACGAATGAACAGACCATGTTCAAAACAAGTGGTGTGAACCCACAAATGGACCGGAAAGACAGAGGGCGGATAGGAGGGGAAGGTGCTCAGAAGCAGCAACTCCCTTGCCATGTGTGTTGTCTCAGTGGCTGTAATAGTGCACTTGGGGCCGGGAGAGTTCCCTGGTGCCCAGAGTCATTGATTTGTCCCATCTGTTGTCAGATCAGTCCCATTGGTCCCAAAAAGTGCTGTTCCCCGCCGGTGAGCTTTACCAACCAATCACTAGGCTGGAAAGTTGGCAGAGGTGGGACAAGCAATGCAGCCCAAACCGAAGGAGTGTTGCACAAAACCCATATGACTTTGCAACTCTCTTTGTGGGTTCTGCTCTTCCTATGTCCAGCTTAGTGCTAAATAGGAATGGGCGATATGTGGCCCTCCAGATATTTATGTTATTTATTTTATTTAAAACATTTCTATGCCGCCCGCATCGCAACAAAGCCTCGGGGCGGCTCACAACAAAAACTAAAACAAACAAAATCATATAAAAATTTATACACTAAAGATATTAAAACCCGGTGCATCTCGGCTTAAATTTTTTTAAAAATCCTCCATAATAAATTAACACTTAAAATAAGTTTTAAATAAAAAGGTCTTAGCCTGGCGCCGAAAAACAAATAACGACAGCGCCAGGTGGACCGCTCTGGGGAGCGCATTCCAAATGATACTTTGAGTTGTATCTGGGCTGGACTCCGATCAGCCCTAGTCAGCATAGCCAGTGATGAGGCTTCACACCCATCCGCCCTGTGCTCCAGATGTACAACCAGCGGCATGGCAAGCTGCCTGCAAGCACCCTGGAAGGCTGGTGCCATCTGCCCAGGTTCCTAGCTCCAGGCCCCAGAGTCTCCCGTTGAAGTAATTCCTTTGGTGGGAGGAAGTCTCTGTCCCTCGAAATAGACAGTGCTGAGTACCAATGGCTTGTTTCACTGTAAAGTGAATTCTTAAGTGCCGCTGTTGGCAGTGGTATGGAAAGAGTACACAGATGCAAGGGGGGTTCCTGCATCAAGCAGCTGTGCCTCTTTTTGCTTCCACAGTACTTGAAGAATGATAAGCAGACAAACAAATATGATGGCTGGCCAGAGGTTCTGGAGATGGAGGGCTGCGTCCCCAAGAAGCTGGACTAGAGAAGAGACCACGAGAGCAACAGCCTCCTGCAGCCAGCACTCCGGACTCTTCCTGGACGTGGCTGGGTGGGGTGAGGGTACCAGTGGTGCATTCGAATTGGCTTGGCTCTCGACCATGTAAGGCACTGGACACCAAGGGCGAGCTCTCTTGGTGCTTTCAGGTAAGATTGCACAAGTCAAGGTTGTGGACAAGAGGCTTCCAATGCACCCCCTTCCAGCTTCGTAATGCATTCTGAGGAGGTGAAGAAGCAGGATCAGCGAAAGACCCGTGGCTTTCAGCCCTTCTGACACTTTTGGAAGTCCTCTGATCATGTACCTGGGACCTACCTGGGACCTATGAGCAGCAGGAGCTTTGTGAAGTTCTGGAGAAGCACATGAAGTGCACAAGGAACTGTGAGTCAAACAATCAAGTGCTGGTGGGTCAGTCCTTCCCCCTCTTGCTTGCCTTTCACAACAGAAAGAATTTCATTCATTCTCACTCTCCAATTCAGTTTCCTTCAGTATTCACACCTCTCTGGATTTTGCAACACAATTCTCAAAAAAATACATACACTAAGGGAAAGTGCACACAAAATGCCTATGTTTGGGGCAAAGTGTGCACAAGCATGTACATTAGTGGGATATGTTTTTAAAAAGCATGCTAGAAATCAAAACTTGCAAAAATGCATATACGAGGTCAAAGTTCATACAAAACTCTGGGCATGAAAAAGAATTTCCATGTACTTTTCTGCTAAACAAAAAAAGTTGTGACCTAATGCAGAAACTGGATAGAATGAAGTGAAGATTGAAAAAAGTTAGAAACAGAGAAACCACGAATGGACAGATTTGCTGCCCAAGCCTAGCAAAAGCACACTGCCCTCAGGGGTAGATGCCGGGGTCACGGAACCTGGATAGGGCCCACCCCTTCACCCCTGCTTTGATTGGTGCACCAATCAGTGCTGGGCCACCGCCATGTTATTTCCCCACGGTGCTCTGGAGCAGCACCACACCGGGCATTGTGGGGAATCAGAGAAGCAGCTGCCCAGCCCCCTGCTGGGAGTGGTGGGGCCAGGAGTCACTTTGCCCAGAGTCCATCCAAACGTGGGGCTGACTCTGCTGCTCATAACTGTTGCCGCACTCACCCACACTCCCTGAGGCCTAGAAACACAGCAGTGCCCCACAGCGTACACGGCTGGAGCCAGAGTCACTCGCACTGCCTCCACCCCAGTCACCAGCTTTAGGGCTCTCCCTTTCAGCACCAGAGGGACAGAAGATCATAGCACCCCGACCTGAAGGTGAAGGAGAAAGACCGACATCAGCCGTCAGTTCACTGTTACGCTATCCTATCGGCCAGTGATTGCATAGATACTTGAAGATCTTCTCGAAGTGAAGCTTAGAGAACATCCATAGCACTGGGAGCGCCCAGCATATGCCCTCTTCCCCGCCAAGTGCCAAGGTGTTCCAGGGGTGCAGTGCTTATCTGGGCCTGGTTTCCTTGGGCTCAAGATCACTGAATGCCCACTGGTGCTTTCTGGTATTTTAACATTGGCAAAATGCAGCTTGTACATAGGTGGAAGGATGCAATCAAGGGACTCCAATAGTCAGCCCAGACTACTGTTCCCACATTAGAGATCTCAGGTAGGGATGGATGAGTGGGTTTCTTCAGTTATATTTGGATGAAGATTTACCAAAATTCAAAAAGAGCTCTGGATGGGATGGCCAACAGAAAGAGCACAAGATTTCATTCATTCAAATTTGGGAAAAACCAAAACAGATTTGTCTGCCTAGATCCGGCTTTTGAGGGCGATGCGCCTTGGTCTGGGCTTGAATCCTAGTAAAGTCCACCATGTTGGTGCTGAATTAGGCTGCAGCCTCCTCCTTCTGACCGCTCTCTTTAGCGGCTCAAGGGTAGCTGTGTGCAACATGCCCACCTCCATGCTGGGAACAGCTGTAGCTCTGGAATTCGGCTGGGGAAGGTGGGTGAGACTTTTGTCTTAGCTCATTATAAGAATTTACCAACCTTTGCCAAGTTTCTCATAGTTAGGAGAGAAAGAATATGAGATTTACAAATTCAACTGTAGGAGAAAGGAAAACGGAACGATTTGTCCATCCCTATTCTAGCAAGACAGCGTGCAGCCCAAGGGCTGGTAGGAACTACAGTGTCCAAAAACGCAGGTCTCCCTCTGCCTTTGGCAGACTCAAAACTGCAGACCCACACTCTGTTTCTTAGATCGCCTCCACCTGCTGGTAGGAGGGAACATAGAAGAGTTACTCACCCACTGCCGTGGGGCATCTTAGTTCCCATGGACAAATCCCCTGAACTCACCTGACAACAGAATGTGTCCTGCCAGACCTGTCCACCCAGTTTGACCTTAGCAATTCTTTTTTTCAATATCTGCCTTTCCATCCTAGAATCATGGGAATGGAAGGAATCTTGAGAGTCCTCTAGTCCAAAACCTTGCTCACGATATTGTGTGTGTGATCAACCTTAACGTGGTTCTTGTTCCATTAAATCAAATTGATGGTCAGAGTTTGCCTTTTACACATCGGTCTGTTTATTATTTTAATGTTACTGGTGTTTAAATTTATTTCAGATGCTGCTTCTATTATTTATTATTTATTTATTTAGAAAATTTCTATGCCGCCCCATTCGCCGAAGCCTCGGGGCGGCTCACAAACATAAATAACTTCAATTAAAATAATATAAATTAACAGTATAAATTAAGTTGCCCTGGCCAAAGAATAAAATAAATAAATACTATTAACAGTTAAAATGGCATTTGAATAAAAAGGTCTTCACCTGGCGCTGAAAAACAAATAACGACGGCGCCAGGCGGACCTCTCTGGGGAGCGCATTCCATAGATTGGGTGCCACCGCAGAAAAAGCCCTCCTCTGAGTACCTACCCTCCTAATTTCCTTCATGGAGGGTTCCCGGAGAAGGGCCTCTCCTGCAGATCTCAGGGGGTGGGCGGGCATATATGGACGTAAGCGCTCCTTCAGGTAACCAGGACCCAAGCTGTTTAGGGCTTTATAGGTCATCACCAACACCTTGAATTGGGCCTGGACTTCAATGGGAAGCCAGTGAAGCTGACGGAGGACTGGAGTCAGGTGAACATAACGCCCAGTCCCCGTCAGCAGCCTGGCAGCTCTATCTTGAACCAATTGAAGTATCCGGACCGTCTTCAAGGGTAGCCCCATGTAGAGCACGTTACAGAAGTCAAGTCGGGAAGTCACCAATGCATGTGTCACTGTCACCAGGCAGTCGTACTCCAGGTAGGGAGGCAGCTGATGGATCAGCCAAAGCTGAAAGAAAGCGCTCCTCGCCACCACTGTCACCTGAGCTTCCAGTGAAAGCTCTGGGTCGAGGAGCACTCCCAAGCTGCGGACCTTGTCCCTAAGAGGAAGTGCAACCCCATTCAGGACCAGGTTCAAGTCACCCTCACCAAAACCCGATCCACCAACCAACAGGACCTCCGTCTTGTCTGGATTGAGCTTCAGTTTATTGGCCCTCATCCAGCCCATTACCTCAGCCAGGCACCAGTTCAGCACAGCCACTGCCTCACCTGGATTGGTGGAAAATGAGAGGTAGAGCTGGGTATCATCAGCGTAGTGGTGATTCCGCAGCCCACACCTCCTGATGACCTCTCCCAGCGGTTTTATGTAGATGTTAAACAGCAAAGGGGACAAGATGGACCCCTGCGGAACTCCATGGCATAGCTGCCATGGTGCAGAGCCATAGTCCCCCAGCACCATCTTCTGGAATCGGTCATTGAGATAGGAGCGGAACCACTGCAAAGCAGTGCCTCCGACTCCCAATCCCACTAGCCTATCCAGAAGGATACCATGGACGATGGTATCGAAAGCTGCTGAGAGGTCCAGGAGAACCAACAGGGACACGCTCCCCCTGTCCTCCCTGCACAGGTCACCGTACCGGGCAACCAAGGCAGATTCAGTACTGTATCCGGGTCTGAAGCCGGACTGAAATGGGTCCAGATAATCAGTTTCATCCAAGAGTACTTGGAGATGTCCCGCCACCACCCGCTCCAACACCTTGCCCAGAAACGGGATGTTGGCCACTGGTCTATAATTAGTGGCCGTCTCTGGATCCAGTGACGCTTTCTTCAGGACCGGTCGTATTACCACTTCCTTTAAAGGGGCAGGCACTCGACCCTCCCTCAGAGAAGCGTTAACCACTTCCAAGATCCAGATCCCAATCCCATGCTTGGCGTTGTTTATTAACCAAGATGGGCAAGGGTCCAATAGGCAAGTGGTGGGACGTACTCGTCCAAGCACCTTGTCCACATCATCAGGCTGCAATAACTGAAATCCATCCATTAATTTTGGACCAGACAGTGACATTGGTATCTCCCCAGAAACCTCTGAATCACTAGTAGAGTCTAGCTCATGACAAATCTGAGTGATTTTCTCCCTGAAATGCTTGGCAAAGTCGTCACAGCGGGCCTTCGAGGGTGGAACCAGATCTTTCTTAGGCCCAGGGCAGACCAGGCCTTGTACCACTCAAAAAAGCTCCACCGGATGGCATTTTGAGGAGGCAATGGAAACGGAAAAGAATTTCTTTTTCACCGCCCTCACCGCCACAGCATACGCCCAATAATGGGCTCTTAAGTGTGATCGGTCAGATTCATCCCGTGATCTCCTCCACCTACGCTCTAGCCGTCTCCCAGCCTGCTTCATCGCCCGCAATTCATGCGTATACCAAGCGGAAGAGCGGGCTCTACCCGGTGGGAGAGGATGCTTAGGAGCGATCATGTCAACAGCCCTGATCATCTCCCCGTTCCACAGTTCGACCAGAGCCTCGACAGGAGCACCAGTCTTGTCAGCCGGAAACCCCCCAAGGGCCTTCAGGAATCCGTCCGGATCCATCCGGCTCCAGGGGCGGACCCACACAATCGGGTCTGGACCCTTACAGAGGGAGAGGCCGCTCTTGAGCACAAACCTCACCAGGAAGTGATCGGACCATGACAGGGGTGTCAGACATAAATTCCTCACCCTCAGACCA